GCTGGGGGACCGAACCGCGGTCCCTGATGCCTTTGCCAAGCTTGTTCCAAGTAGGTGCCCTAGACCACTGAGCCATCTCTCCAGCCCCAGGAACTTATTTCTTAAACCATGAAATTTCTGAGTACTTATTTGTCAAGATTTTTTCCAAATTTGTGGGTTGCCTTTTCATTTGTTGGTAATTTCTTTTGACATGCAAAGACTTCTTAATAAGAGCAGGTCCCAGTTGTTAATTCTTTCAACTGTTTCCCATGTGATTTGATTTTTGTTCATGAACTCTTTGCCTACCCCTATGTCTTCAAGAGTTCCTCCTACTTTCTCTTCCAGGAGATTTAGTGTTTCTGTTTTAATGTTTAGATCTTTAATGCATTTTGACTTTAGCTTAGTGCATGGTGATAGACCTGGGTCAACTTTCAATTTTCGACATGTAGAGAACCAGTTTTCACAGCACCATTTGTTAAAGAGGCTATCTTTCTTCCAGTGAGTATGTTTGGCCCCTTTGTCAAAGATAAGATGGCTGAGTGTGTTCGTAGGTGCCTCTACATCTTCTAATCTATTCCATTCATTCTCAGGTCTATTTCGTTGCCAGTACCATGTTGATTTTATCACAGTAGCTTTGTAGTATAATTTCAAGTCAGGAATTGTAATGTCTCCTGCCTTGTCTTTGTTGCCCAGGATTGCCTTTGCTATTCTAGGTCTTTTCTGGTTCCAAGTAAATTTTAGGAACGATTTCTCTAGGTCTGTGAGCTATATTGGTGGTAGTTTGATAGGGATTGCATTAAATCTGTACAACAATTTGGGGAGTATGGCCATCTTCACAATGTTGGTTCTTCCTATCCAGGACATGGAATATCTTTCCATTTTCTGAAATCCTCTACGATTTCTTTTTTCAGAGCATTGTAATTTTCCTTGAAAAGATCTTTGACTTCTTTAGTTAGATGAATTCCAAGGTATTTCATTTTCCTCGGTGCTATTGTAAAAGGTATTGTTTCTGTAATTTCCCTCTCAGTGTGTTTGTTATCTGTGTAGAGGAATGCTATTGATTTTTGGGTATTGACTTTGTATCCTGCTATGCTACTGAATTTCTGTATTAATTCTAGTGTTC